AAAAAAAAAAAAAAAGGAAAAGAAAAAAAAAAAAAGAATTTAAAAATTATTCTCACTTAAATCTATACTTATACAGTCAATTCCTAACAAAATCAATTATCTCTTGCAACATAACTTGTTAATGATTTCTTTAACTTTTACTTCTATGGTATATTGCATAGAAGGTTAGGTCAGGCCAGAAAAAGTAGTTTGCCCAACTGAGTGAGAATCATTACTATATTTAACTGATGCTGTGAAGCATTACTAACCTCATTTTCCAAATGAATCTTAAAAAATTCAAGTAAGGTTTAGAACCTCCCCCTCACATTCCCACAAAAATTTAATAAGAGGCATACTAAGAATTTAAATCTATTCTCTCTGATTCCAGTGCCTACATAGAATATAGAATATTATGTATTTCTAAAATGATGAATTGTTTTTTTTAACTAAAGCTCCTACTACACCAAACTGCTTATAAAGGCATAAATACAAAGTATACTTTTAAAAGGATAATTTACTTTTTCAGTTTCAGGAAAAAAAAAAAAAACCTCTTACATGTTCTAATACTCAAATCATTTGGTGCAACAGCTGAATATTAACTACCAAATGAGCTTTCACTACGTCAAACAACATGCTGGTCAGCTGACAAAAATTTTAAGTTTTGGACATGCTGAGAAAATTTTAATTAGAACAGACTCTTTACCTTGTAGGAACAGGGACCTCAGTCAACCCTGAGAGGAGGACAGCAGGAGCCAGTCTCACAAATGCAATTATAGGTCTTTCTAAAAAGTCTACTTCTCCCACCAGAACATTAGATGCTTCTGCTCCCGTGGGAATTTTTCTCATAAAATTCATGTCAACCTATTGACAAATAAATAACAATTAAAAATACATTTTTCATGATATTTATATGGTTATTTTGAGGAATATAGGAAAGAAAAATACTTTTAGGAGTATTTGCTAAACAAAAGTAGTGATTTAATGGATGTACAAATACTACAATTTTCACAAATATAAAGAATGGGGATGACAAATACAAAAATGCAAGCAAAACACACCTATCAAACAATACTTCAACTCCTTTAATTGTGGTAATATTCACTACTCCAGACATCTAAATTATCAAACATACAAGCTAGAGAAAATTTTCAATGAATATACAGCACTATTCATTAAAAACTATTAAGGACAAAAATATAGTCACAAACTAACAATGGTTCATGAAATTATACACAGTACTAAAAATTATTCATTTCATAATTACTTATTGTTTAATCTTAGAATTGAATTAGTACTTTTATATTTTTATAAGCCTCCTTTTTAAGAGAACTGTAGGAAATGCCCATTAGTTTTTATAGGTGGAAAAACCATTTTTATTTCAAACTAAAAATCAATACATCTTACTCATAAAGGCTTTCTAATGAAATTTAGTTGTCTGTGTATAATTACAAAGAAAACGTTACAAATATGATGCCAAAATATGGGAACTTCTTCATTTATATGCGGTTTCACACAAGTCACTAAACAACCACTTACAGGGCTATCTATTAAAAATAAAACCAGCACTTACAGCGGGCCTCTTGAGTCCCACACCCAGTGTGCCACAACTACAGTGCCAGGAGGCAGACTCCTGCCCAACAGGAGACAAGGAGGTGTACACAAGAATAGGCCAAGTAAAAAAAGTAAAACTGTGACAGAGGAACAAAAATCAATGGCAACTGCCATGTCTAGACGAGCACTATAAAGTAAATTTTATTAATTTATTCATTTAACAAAAATAAATTGCAATTTACTTACTGAACACTTCTAACTCATCTGAAATAACAGGAGCACCAAGTTAAAACAGTAGAATTCAAAGTACAACAGCCTTTCTGTACAGCCAATGCCCCTTATAGCAAGGCTTTCTATAATTTTGGAATATGAAACTCAAATAATCATTTAAACTCCCCCTTTCTTTAAAATAAAATATGACACATAGACCTTGCATTATAAGATAAAAGATTTAAGAAAACTGCATCTTGACAGAAATAATCATACCAAAAAAACCAAACTGATAGCTGTTGAGTTGTTTCCAACTCATGGCAACCCCTCCTTGGATTCCTGAGGTGGTGTCTCTACGGAAATAGATTGCCCAATCTTCCTTCCAAGGAGTGGCTGGTGGATTTGAACTGCCAGCCTTCTGGTTAGCAGTCAAATGCCCTAGGCACACTGCCACCAGAGCTATTTAATAAAAAATTTTTACGTTGCACGCAAAAGTGTTGGAAGTATCCTATAGCAAATCACTACTACCAAAACATTAAAAGGGTCTCAATTGTTCCTAAGCAGTGTTATTTTAAAATAAGTTGCTTTTAGCTTTTTCCCCTATTTCACTTTATTATTCAGCTATCAAAATAAAATCTCACAGTTTGTCTTTTTTCTTTTTTTTAAAAATCCATGCCTTTACCTACCCATGGGGAAGTGTCGATATGCTTCCCAGTGACATTCCAGAAAGTACCAACACAACAAGACAGTAATTCTGGGATCACATTACAGCCCAGGAAAGGCTGAATCGCTAGTGCTGTAACATCATTCCCAGAATTAACCTTTCTAGTGGTGGTAGCTCCAGAACAAATCACTGTAGTTCGAAAGGTACTTAAGTTTCACAGTATCTATGGGTAGGTATAGATGGAAATACTGTATTATTCACATATATTAGTCAGAATTTCTAAAACTAGTAAGCATGTAGTCATTCAAATGCTCTGAGATTAACTATAACCTTTCTCACATTTTCTGACCTTAAATTAACATTATCACATGCATCAATAAGACTTAGTCTATTTTTATAAAAGTATTAAAAACAACCAATGTTAATAAAGCCACATTGTGATATAATTTTCTGAGTAAGAGTGACTATGAAAATATAATTAATGATAGAATTACCTTGCTGAAGTCAACAGTACTATTTTCTCTGCTTCCTCCAGTTCCATTACCTTTAATTTCTCCACTTTTACTATTGTCCAAGTTTCCTGGCGCAGACTGGGGAGAAGCCAAAACACCTACATTTAAGAACAAATAAATCTCAAGTAAGAAAGGAGAAAATGCGCTTTGTAACTTGACTCTGCTCATATTCTGAAAGCGATGGTTTAAAAGCAAATGTGCAAGATTTAAAAAAAAAGTGCCAGGTGTTAGTATCAAAAGAGCAAAACTAGAATACCATTTTAAGTAATAATAAAGATATGAATTTTAATATTTAAAATAATACAACAGGGATTTACAAAAATAGTGGCCTTTTGCAGAAAGAAAAAAAGTGAATCGGTAAGAAACCACAGAAGATAGAAGAAAGACTAAGTCTGATTACCCCTAGCAATCTTATGGAAATACACACTTTCAATGTATCTGCCATACATGTGAATTGCTCCTCTGCGCAATATAATATAACAATTATGTATAATGATGCCTAAACATGTTTAGCATGCTTACACCAAAATAAATATAAATTTTGACACATCTTAGATGGAACTCAGAAAATTTAACACCAACTAAATATAAGTTGTTCATGAATTTACCATAATCTATGTTCTTCTCAGTATTCCTCAAGAATTTTCATCTTTTCGGGGACATTAACTATGCTTCCTAGGGTCCTTATTCCTAAGAAATACAACTTTAAAATGTAATAGTAAATGTTTAAGTGCAGAGTGACCTACATAACTTCATTTAAACTCTATTTTGCAATCAGATCCTATAACCTTTGATGTAGGAGCTCTGGTGGCAGAGTGCCGAAAGCATTTGACTGCTAACCAGAAGGCTGGCAGTTCAAACCCACCAGCCACTCCTTCAAAGGAAGACTTGGCAATCTACTTTTGTAAAGATACCTCCTGGGAAACCCAAGGAGTTGCTATGAGTCACAATAAACTCAATAGCAGTGAGTTTGGTTTTGGTTTTAATCTTTGATGTTAATACTTGTAATTAATTAAGTTCTAAAATGTTAAGTATATCAGATGCAAGTGATGCGTCTAAGGGAGAGTTTTCATTTTCTTTTTTAGAAAAACATACTATAATTAATGAAAAACTAAAAAAGGTCAATTGTGTTTACAATTAAACTCATTAATAGACCTTGTGATATTCACTTCCCTGTTAAACATTTAAATTAAGCTGTCACTATGACCCAAAACTCACAGTATAAAAAGCATTTGAAATATACTTAGCAATGTGCCCATCCACTAGAAAAGTGAAACAATTCTGAAATAGAAACTATTTCCTAAGACTTACCCATTTTTAACAATTTTAACAATCTTAGCTTAGCACATAAAAGTTATGAAGATTTCTCTTCTTTGATCTTGGTCCTTATACTTCCAGAATTGAGTCTCCTGCTTTATTAATATACCTGCTCCACAACCAGACCACTGCCACCTAGTCAATTCCAACTCACAGTGACTCTGTAGGACAGAGTAGAACTGCCCTGTAGGTTTCCAGGGCTATCAATCTTTATAGACGCAGACCACCACATCTTTCTCTTTCAGAGCAGCTGGTAGGCTCCAACTGCCAATCTTTTGGTTAGCAGCCATGTACTTAACCACTGAATTATCAGGGCTTCCTGGATACCTGCCCAAGGAGTGGGGAGGGAGTGAGCTACTATCCTTCAGGGGCTTGCACCTACTCCTACCTAAATACACAAAGAAAATGAAGAGCATCAGTAAGGTCCTAATGGCAATTGCAACTGAGCACCAAACACATACTTCTAAGTACTAAATATATTCAACCTATAGATGCATAATCAAAAGAATAGACAGTTTTCCAGAAAAGTCCTAACTACCTGATTTTATGAAAAAGAATGAGAAGGCAGCTATAGGGTAAAGTGAGAATACAGAAGGAATGGGAAGAAGAGATTTGTTTGTTTCAAAACTGGCAAACCTAGAAATATCACCTAAAGTCACTTAGCTAACATGATCATCCGGAGCCTGTCCCTTTTTAAAAATTGACACATCAGTGCATGCTAGAGTTCTCTGTCATTACCTGTCTGTATAACCCTCCCTACCCTTAACTGAGTTAAAGTTTTTTCTCCATCAATAAACAAGTCTCTCTGTTCCTAAGATAACTTCCTAGGATTCAGGAATCAAATGAGTAAAATAGTAATTAAATGAGTAAATTATAAAAAATAAAAATAATAATGCTATCATTACCACAGATGACCAAGAGGGATTATAGTTCTGTATTTTAAAAATACCTGTGGAAAAAAAATCATCTATATGAGACAAAATGTCAATATTTACCCTAAAGCAAAGACAAGATGGTTGGGAGGAGGGGCAGAGAAATAAGAATAATGGAAACTAAACCACCAGAATGGAATTAATGAGACTGTTGACACAATGTGGAAAATGAAACCAATGTCATCTTACAATATGTATAGAAGTGGTAAATGGAAACTAAATTTGCTATGCAGACTTTCACCAAAAACTCAAAATATATATTTTTTTAAAAAAAAAAGTTTGGTTGCTAACCAAAAGGTTGGTGGTTTGCACCTACCAGCAACTCTGAGGGAGAAAGATAAGGCAGTCTGCTTCTGCAAAGATTTACAGTCCTGGAAGCCCTATGGGGGCAGTTCTACTCTGTCCTTTAGGGTAGTTACAGGTTGAAATTGACTGAGAGCAGTGTTTTTTTGTTTCTTTCCATTCTTTTTTTAAATAAAAAGAGACTGTAAATTTTACATAAGAAGGACTGGACCTATTAGTATGAGCTTGTAGGCCCTGCTGTTAAGGGGATCAAAAGAGCAATTAACTGAGAATTGAGGAACACAGTGAAGCTTATTTTTTCCTCTGGAAGTATGCCTTGTGATTTATCAGCCTTTGTGAAGAAAAGGAATTAAAATAGAGGGAAGAAGGAATTACTAAAGATAAGAAAAAGCACATAATGTTCGTTTGAGAAGACATTTATAGAAGGTGTGCAATTAATAAAAAATAATAGGGACAATTGTATATATTATTTTCTTTTTCATTGACTAGTGCTTCTGGCATGTAGAAACTTTAGTTGAGTTTCCTTAAAGTCTAATGTTACATTAGAGGCGGAAGATGGCCTCAGTATAATTTTGGAGAGAATGATGTTACAGACTTTTGTGTCTTGGGCTCATGATTTGTATACACACATTAATGAAAAAAGAAAGTAGCCATTCTCTTTAGTTAATATTTGGATAATTGTATGTAAAGAGGTGAACTCATTTTCAGTATTTGTAACTATTTTTCTTCTAACTCAGTATTTTTCAATCATAGCACTATTAACATTTTAGGCCAGATGATTTTCTGTGGTGGAAACATGCCCTGTGCATTGTAGGATGGTTAGCAGCATCCCTTAGCCTCTACTTGCTGCTAGTAGCACCCCTGTTTAAGATAACCAAAAAGATTTGCAGACCATGCCAAATATGCCCTGGGGCAGAATTACTCCCAGTTGAGTAATGTCCCTGTAACTACTCCTGATTTCAAACTTTTAGTGACAGAAAACTTTGATATCTTTGATTTGCCTTTACTCTGGTTAGATTTGCTATTTACTTGAGGAAAGAATATAAATGCAAAATAGCAGTTTCACCAGGGTACAATTTGAAATTCCATTATTGATTTTATATCTACACATGCATGAAGAAAATTAAAGATGAAAGGAAACACTTAGTCCAAAGGACTAATGGACCACAGTGAACCAAAGTATCCACTAGCCCGAAACCACAAAAACTACAGGTGCCTGGCTACCACTACTGACCAATCTAATGGGGACCACAATAGAAGGTCCTGAACAGACTGGGGAAAAAAATGTAGAACAAAGTTCAAAATCATAAATTAAAAAAAAAAAAAAGATTAATTTATAGAAGTAAGTGGAACCCCAACATTATGGCCCATAGACACCCTTCAAGCCTGGAATTGAACCCACCTCCAGGGATCAACTTTCACCCAAACAACAAACAGGCCTATAAAGTGAACAGTAACATCAGGGAGGAAAGTACTCCTCCCTGATCAAACATACAGTCAACCACACAAAACCTAAAGGGCAGCATTTGCTCAAAAACAAAGCTCAGAGGGCAAGGGCTAAGGACCAATGGGAGTGTGGGAGTGGGGAACCCAGAGAGGCAGTGGGAAGAATGCTGTTACATTAAGTAGACTGCAAACAATATCATGAAATAAGAAGTGTATAACTTGTTGAATGGAAAACTAATTTGCTCTGTAAACTTTCACCTAAACCACAATAAAAAGTTCTTTAAAAAAATAATTATGAACACTGATTTCTAAGTATTTTTTTCTCCTTTTAAGTTATTCTCATCATTATAGTTTCTCTTTTTTGTGAACTAATGAAATGCATATATTTTGTTTCAGGTAGGCCTGAGTACAAATCCTCATTGGTCATTTACACTGTCATTTAACATCTCTACTAAGCCTTAGTTGTCTTCATGTGTAAAAATAGGGATAATACCAACATCACTGCATTGGTTTAAGAATTAGAAATATGACACACAGAAAGAATATATATCACTATGTCTGGAACAAAGTCTAAAACAACATTAATTATTAGCTATAATCATAATTAATGTTCCAAGATTTAGCCACAAGCCTTCCATATGTGCTTCTAAAAGCATATCCTTTTTAGGAAATTTCAAAGTGCTTTGATTACATAAATGTGTTTGGTGTGTTTGGCTAATATCAGTAAGTAATTCCATATAGTTGTACAAAAACAAACAGTTGTAGTCAAAGGTCATTTACTAATTATATGACCCAAAGAAAGTGATTTAAGTTTTCTGAGTTTCTGAAAATGGGTGTATTCACCTAACTTTTTAAAATTTAGTAACTGTAAGCTAACTTTATAAGTCAGCAGTAGGTTTGTGTACCATTAAAGTGTTAGACGCTATCATTATTATGGAAAAATGTGATAAAACCACTAGTTAGCATTAGACTGTCACACATGATGCTTAACTAAAATATAAGTAAAAAACAGTAATTAAAAATGTTTTTTCCTAGAAGTCAGTGGGATGATATAGATGTTTTAAAGTACATATAATTAACATTTCTAAAAATTATCATAACTTATAGCCCTTAAATGAGTTATAAATCTTCTTTCCACTAAGAAATTTTCCTAATTCACATATAAAACTCAAAAATGTATCTTAACCACAACTGTAGGAACTCTGTTTCTGAAAATCTGAAGGTAAATTTGGATTAAAAATAGATATAGCATTAAATAAAAGATAACTAAAGGCTATCCCCCAATTTAATACTAGTTTTGAAATAATCCAAGCAATCATGAGAGAACCTCAATCTTCTAGGAAGCAAAATGAGAAAAAGGAACATTCGATCCCCTTTCTGCTAGGAAGACTAATGTATACTTCATTCTTTGGAGAAAAGCACCACACAGATAAAAGGTGTATCACCTCTTTATAATTTATATACAGTATGTGTTTATTCACCATGTAAATGAACTACACAAGAAAAGCCGCCATTTAAAAAATCATGGCAAATTAAACATTAATAATAAAAATTTCTTCATTCTTCTGAAACATTCAAATGCCTTGACATCTAAAAGCTCAGTAAAAAATTTGGAAAGTGCTTACAATGTATGTTTTTATAATTAAATTGTTTTAATAAGTCTAATGTTTTCTATGACACACTATAAAGAAAAAACATGCAAAGGTCAAAATAAATCATAAGCATTATCTACATATGCTGCTCAAGCTATGTGGTGAAAGGCATTCCAAGGGCAAGTGATCTAGAGGCAGAAAGCACCACACATAAAGGATTTTGGATAGTTGCCTGGAGTTATGTCAATATTTTCCTCATTCTTCTGCTCCTGGCCTTTCAGAGCTTCTAAGTCTTCCTCAGGCGGATGAATTACTACTGTGGGAATATCATCACTAGCAGGTGAAACCAGTAGTTCTGGGGCCTGAAGCTGACTCTGCTGGGAGCTTCTGGAGGTCAGGCGACTGATGCTAGGGCTGGAGGGAGGGCTGTTTTGAGGGGTGGGTACAGGGGTGGTAGACCTTGAGCCTGCAGGGGTTCCAGCTCTTGAAGCAGGAAGAAGATGACTGAGAAGAAGAGATAAAGGCGATTCTCCTCTCAGTGAAAGGTTTGAGGCAGACAGACCTGTTCGCAAAGAGTGGCGGGAGGCTGAAAGGCCTTCCCCTGAGATAAAACAAATAAATGAAAAATGATGAAGTATACTGTAGAAGGCAAATAGAGACAGAAGATCAATTTACACTATAAACTACATGCTTTAAAGGCCAAAAATTCAAAATTCATGCTATGAAGATTAGCGTGGCAACCAGGTTTTTAAATGTTAGAGAAAGTCACAAAACTTTATTTAACTGTAATCAGCTCCCTCAAGGTGGATCTAAAAAACAATGTTACTGACAGATGGGGAGGGGCGATATTCTGTTAGGGATTAGAATAACCAATACTGTGGCTTTTTGAAAAGGATAGTATCAATGCAAAGTTGCTGCTTAAATAAATGGTAAGTAGCAAATGAGAATATAACAAAAATAATCTAATAAACAGAACTCAAACCAAAACTTACCAGCTCTGACAGCTTACATTCAGTGTATTTTTCCTATACTGTACCAAACAGCTATAGATAATTATCTCTGACAAGAAAAGTCCACATTAATATTACCTAAGGTTCTAAGTTAAAAACTGATCAAATATTTATAATATTAAGTCAGTAGGGCACCACCAAGGTAATGCTCTCAAGCAAGTTTAAAAAACATAGGACAAGTTATAAATTATTTTTCCCAAAAGGAAACAACTGTCAATTTTAAAGGACACAAAGTCTTGAGATCTCTAAATATAATTATTAATAAATGTCCTAAAACATGCTTCTCATTTCTAACACAGCAAATAAATTTAACCAAATATATGCAATATTTAATTTAAAAATAGATTATTTCTCACCAACAATGGGCATAAGGAATTCTAGAATATTTCAGAAGCTCACACATTGCTATACTTAAAGCACCTACTATTTCTATTATGGCTAGCTCAACTGAATAGCATTCTATTTTTATGAAAATCATGAGAAGCTATACAATCAATTCAACGTGGTCTAATTCTAAGCAATCAAAACTGCGTGTTCCAGAGAATCCAGAAATAATAAAAATAAAGATTAACCTCTCATCCATAAATAACCACCATTTATGTTTTTTTTTTTTTTTTTTTTAAATGGTGAACTATGTGCACAAGGACAGTTTAATGTAACTTTCATTGCATAGGTCATTGAGTTGATTCTGACACACAGCAACCCTACAGAACATACTATACTGCCCTGCCTCACAGGGTTTCCTAGATCGTAATCATAATTTTTACGGGAACAGGTCTTTTCTCCCACAGAATGGCTGGCAGGTACGAACTGCCAACCTTTTGGTTAACAGCCAAATGCTTAATAATTGTGCTATCAAGGCTTCTTTAATTATACCTATAATATCCTTAACCACAAAGTAACACGATGCCTGTGCTAAAATGACATTTAAAAGAAAATAGCCATTGTCTTAAAACTAATGGAGCCACATTACAACTGGGGAATAATCAGGAATCATTGTATATGAGGATTAAAGATTTAATAGTGTCCCTTTCAGTTAATGAATTCATTTCACTAAAGTAGAGAATATACAATAAATGGCACATTAAAAAAGAGATGTAAAATATGGCATATACAGCTTGTGTTCAAATTGAACTTAGGTCTGTAAGAGTAGTGAAATATACAAGACATAATTTTAAACAAAATAAGTTTTTTAATGGTCAAATGCTCAAAAGAAAATGGATATAGGCATCTTATACTGACCTGTAAAATTATATACAATTATGAATTATACACAATACTTAATATGTATATGCCAACTTTAGATATATTAAACCCTATCACTGTGGCTGTTTACTTACAGAACACTTTAAAACCATACCAGTCTTTTCAGAAACAGAAAAGGTAAGTGGAAAGGCTTTGTGGCCCATACTCTACTTCTCTTCACTGTAATACTTATAGCACCAAACCAAACCCACTGCCATCGAGTCAATTAAGACTCATAGCAAACCCCCATTGGGTTTCCAAGGCAATAAATCTTTACAGAAGTAGACTGTCTCATCTTCCTTCCAAGGAGCCTCTGGTGGGTTTGAACAACCAACCTTCTAGTTAGCAGTCAAGAGCCTTAGGTACTGCATCACCAGAACTCCTTGTAATAATCAGAAAGCATAGGTAATGGCTACTTCAATCCACTGCACCTGGGTTTTGCAGGTTCACTGTCATCACAGTTCTCTGAGAACCAAAATCAAACCCTCAGTGATGTCCTTCTCTGTTTGAGAAAGAGGAAAATAAATAAAGGTAAAATTTCCAAGTATGCCAATCTTAAGACAGTGGAAGAGGCAAATGGCTACAAAAAACAGTCTCCCCATGCCTCGTTTAATGCACCTCCAAATGAGAGTGGAAAGCTAGAATATGTGCACCTGGGTCTGAACCATTCTCAATCAGCAAATGGAAGATCACCTAGGTCACTATATCACCTCTCATGTAAGAACAGAAATGATCATAAAAACCATTCACAAAACCCTGTCTAAATTCTCTATGAACAAAGGGCATCAAATCAACCTAAAAACCTGCTTATGTCCAAAAAATAAAGTATATTCAGGGGACAAATAAATCGACAGAAAATAAAAAATCTAATTCAGATACTGTTTCAAACCCAACAATGAAAATTTTAAAAATAGATTAAACTAAAATTTATAATTTATGCCCATTGAATCAACTATACCCAAGAAATCTTGAATGGAAACAAAAAAGAAGGCATAAGAAATAATCCAGGGTTAGGTATATAGTGATAGAATTTAAATACTACCACTATTAAAATGGAAATTAATTTGTGTCATTTTAACAGAGTGAATGCTTAACTTTTCTTATCTAAATAATTTCCACAGGTAAATATGTTAAATTATAAAAAGACATTTGAGAAATGATTGATTTTTTAAAGGCACAGATAATGATATTATAGATAACAAAACAACATTATAAAATGATCTATGTTAATTATCTGAAAATATCTTTCCTTCACCAAATGTTAATTACAACTGATTAAAAGTGCTGTTAGAGTAGAAGCGTTAGCAAAAATTGGATGCCACAACTTATCTCACCATTCCTCTCAAGTAAGTGAGGGTCAGAATGTTTCTTGCCTATATCTGCAAAAGATCGAACAAGGGGAATCCGACTGGTGAATCTTTTCTCATTCTGATGATGATGTCTCTTCAGAAGAGCTTCTCTGACATTCTCTCTTATAGACTCATCTAATTGGCCAGAGGCTATCATGTTGTCCAACACCATATCTACTCAAATAAAAAAAAAAAGTAACAGTTATTGTTAGTTTTAACACGCAAATGATTATAACACAGGACAAACATAAAATGAAACCTCCTATCAAGAGTTCTGGAGCTCTGCAGGAGTTAACCAAAAGGCCCATAGTTCAAACCCATCAGCCACTCCACAGAAGAAAGATGAGTCGGTTTACTTCCATAAAGATTTACAGCCTGGGAAACCCAATGGGGTTCATTCACTATGAGTCAGAATCAATTCAATGGCAATGAGTTTTAACAAAAGTTAGATCTCTACCTAACTCTAGAAAGAAACCATTAAATTTCCAAAAAAACTGTCTTAGTAGATGACTATCTGGATTCCTTCTTTCATTTAATCATTAACTCTTTACTGAGTATTCTCTACATGTTGAGAATACAGCAGTTAACAAAACAGATCAAGTTTCTTCTCTCATTCTTCCTGAGGCAGAAAAACTAGTAACAAATAGATAACATATCATGTGGTAATAAATTCTGGAAAGATGAATAAATCAGGTGTGAGGAGGATTTGGGAGGTTGAGAGACTGATGATAATGCCATTTTATACATTTTTTGTGTGGTGACTGGATTATTTTAATTTACAAGATATATAGAAATATTTTTAAACACTGGCATTAACTTGAGATAAAAAGTCAAGCTTTCAAAACTATGATTAGATTCCTCTGAAAGAAACCTGGAGAGACCAGCATAGTAGGTAAACTACATTAACAGAAGGAGGACAGCCTACCTTACTAGTAAGTGCTGGGATTATACAGCATTTTCTAAAAGTACTACATTATGTGGTAATTGTAGAGCAAAAGATTCAGACATCCAAATCCAATACTCCTAGCCGTAATTCAATTTTTCAGTGATTCATAAGATAAGAAAGTAAGAACTCTGATAATTTAAAGATTTGCAACAAGGAGTCAACTCAAACAATCTGGCAATTTTGACGTATTTCCAGCCTGATAAATTCTAATCAATTTGTAAAACACTGTAAATATTTTTTCTTTTTCCCTGGGTGCAATCTGTACTGCTAGTCACATTATCAAATTCATTACCACTGAATTTAATATCCTATCTGTCCACTTCCACTTTTTATCTCCACCATCAATTGCCACTGAACCAATTCTAACTCATGGCAACTTATTGTAATTCAGTGCAAATTTATGCTTCATAGGGTTTTCAATGGCTGATTTTTCAGTAGATAACCAAGCCTTTCTTCCAAGGTACCTCTTGTTAGATTCAAACTGTCAACCTTTTGGCTAGTAGCCAAGTGCTTAACTGTTTGTGCCACCCATGGACTTTCTACCTCCATCAAACCAAACCCTTTGCCATCAATTCTGGTTCACAGCAATGCTACATACAGGACAGAGTAGAACTGTCCCACTGGGTTTCTAAGCCTATAATCTTTACAGAAGCAGATTGCCACATCATTCTCCCATGAAGCAGTTGGTGGGTTCAAACTGCCAACCTTTCAGTTAGTAGATGAGTGACTTTACTCACTTTCACCACCAAGGCTCCTTTGCCCACAGTATCCTTTAAATCTCTCCCACCATCGATTCCATTGCCACTATCTACCACAGTTCAGACTATCATCATTTCTTGCTAAGACTATTCCAAGAGAGTAACTGGCCTATTTGGCTTCTAACTTCTTTTTAATCCAAAACCACCCTATATATTGTTGCCAGATTGATTTTCCAAAAGCACACCTCAGATCACACACTATTCTCCAACTTAAAAATCGTCAAGAAAACCAAAATACCTACCAAATAAAATCCAATTTATTAAACCAGTAACTGAAGGCTAGTCACCAGCTATCTCTAACCTATTTTCCCAATACATTTTGTACTACTACTGTTCAAGAACCATGTATGCTCACATATTTTTCTTCCTGCTTTTCCTTAGAATACTATCTTTTCTCTTATACTGCTCAATCCTTGTTCTCACGTGTTCAAAATCTATGAATAAGTTGAACAATTAGTGTCCTGCATGAATCTTCCCCCGATACCTTGGTTCAAAACACAAAGAAACAAAAAAACTCCTTCCTTTGAATTTCAAGAGGATAGACTCCTCATCTTGCTTATGGCACTTGATATTATATATTAGGTAATATATTACTGATATTATCACTACATCTAACTGAACCTTGTAGACTCCAAGCATATCAATGCCAAAGCATATACCTTACTTATATGTCTACATCTCATACTGCTCTGCACAAAATAAATATTAAATATTAAATGCTCTGCACAAAATAAATATTAAATATTAAGTGAATGATTTAAATTCTACTTTATTTTCCTTCCTTACTTCTAATGTCATTAAACAAATATAAAAAAAAAAAAGTAATTTTTTAAAACCTGCTATTTCATCTAGAGTGCTTGCTCTCATATCCAGCATGACTGTTCCATTTAGGATACAACTCCTCAGTTCAAAAAGGCTGTGCAAAGATAGAGTTGCCACATAAGGTTTACTCCATCGGTCACCTCCATCTTCAACATCCTCTTCAAATTTCAGCCACCTGAAAAATGAATGATACATACAAATAAAAATAATATTCAATTTGTTTATCTGAATAGAATAAACTTAAGATTGTCCTTTTAGGGAGGAAAAAAGATAACCACCACCAAAACAGATTTGGTTACAAATTATTTTTTACAAATTAGGGTATTGGGCTACATTATTTATACTCATAAGTTTCCTTGTAGATCCTCTTTCCATTCTACTTACAGCAATAATAAGGCTACAGAAACAAACTATGATAATGCTCAGAAGGCAGGAACAGGCAGGAAGGAAGGATAAAGGGAAACGAAGAACCCAGGGAGGAAGTGGGGAAAAGTGCTATTACACTGAGGGGACAGCAATTAATGTCACAAAACAAAACGTGTACAAATTGTTAAATGGAAAACTAATTTACTCTCTAAGCTTTCACCCAAACCAAAATTAAAAAAAAAAATTAAAAACTATGACACTTCATAGTTTCCACTTTTAATCTTCTTTGACATTTATAATATGTGAGATTTAGATTTTTCAATTTTGTTTCTTTAAAGATTACTAAAGTATAAAATAATTCATTTTATTGTTCCATTAAAATATTAGGGATATCTAAGAAAAACTTCTGAGAATAAAGAGAAAAATTAAAGAGTGGATTTCCAGAAGTTGATGAAGAAATTCCCTGCTCCTTACTTTAAAACACTGTGTTCTGGTTACCTCGTGCTGCTTTAACAGAAATATACCACAAATGGGATGGTCTTAACAAACAGGAGTTTATTCTTACACTTTGGAGGCTTTAAGTCCAAGTTCAAAGTGCCAGGGTCTAGGGGCTGGGTGAAAACCCCTCAACCTTGGGGTCCAGCTCTGCCTCCTGCTCCCGGCGCACTGGAGCTAGAGGTGTTTCTTCACTCAGACAGCTGCTGGCTGC